TAGATAGCACTACATTTTGTATACAGATTCATACAATAATTTTGTAAACATATTCATTTTATTAAGGCAAAAAGTGTTTAATTGTAAATATACAAACTGTATAGCATGTTATACATTCGTTTATTTATAATGGATATCGTACTTGTGTGAATCAAATAACTATTTGTATTACTATGAATTTCATATTGTATTTAGAGAACAAAAATCATAATTGTTCGAATAATCATACAATTTGGATTTATAAATTTCTTATTTATATTGATAGAAGAATGTTTGGTGGTCAACGTTATATATGTCTTGATATAATGCAAATGATATAAAACAAATATAAACCAAAAAAAAAAAAAACCAATAAACCAATCAAAATTAACAAATATCCAATCATACTGCCTTTGCAAAAAAATTAGATCAATGTAATGCATATATTTACAGCCAATCAACATTGTTCAACATCAAGGTTTAGCAAAACTTAATACATAATCAAAAGTTTGTCTTTCATGAAGCTTCCTTTATTCTCTCATTATAAACAAAAAATAAGAAGTCAATGTTATTCAACTTGCATAAAATTTAGGGTTTTTTTATTGAAAGATATTACTATTATATGGAATTAATACTAACCTTAAATGGTGTGTTCAAAAAATCATATAAAACAATCTCTCTCATAAAATGAAGGATATAATATCCACATTTGGTAACTCCTAGTTGACAAGGTATCTAAAAAATAAAACTGAGTGGGTTGGTAAACATTTATCTAAATAAACTCAGTAAAAGAATATATTTTACACTTGCTAATAATGACATCTAATTTATCTTTCTATTCTTATCAATTGCAACCATTCCCTTAAATTGAACAAATAATAATAATAATAAATAATAATAATTATAAAGAAACACAATATAGTCTAATTATCACTTATTAATAACATTTAGTACCTCTTTATTAAATTGGCAATATCGGATTTAGGCATCACCATTGGTTAAGCAGAGTAAATAAGTATAGTATCCACAAATTAGTATCAATTATGATAAGCTACAATTGACGCATGCAAAATAATAGACATGATATAAAAATAATAAACATGATATTAGATGTCATAAATGATACAATTAGTACTATGCATAGAATTTATGTAGAATTACAAGGCACCAGAAAATAATCAGCCCATTTTTGCATGCATTGACCCATATGATGACCACAAGTAACTATAGTGCCACTTTTATGACTAATCAAATTTGGGTCAATGAATCTGAATCTATAGGTCATTTGTCTCGTCTTTATCTCTCTGTTTAGGAGGCTACATGATAACAATCAATAATACTATTTAGTAATACATCATAATATAGAATAATTGATATTGATTTTGGATATTTAAATTAATTGATATGCTAACTTTATATAGGCAACAATATCATAAACTGATATTTCATCTAGGGTACAAAATACCTCAACTCTAGCCCCTTCAATGTAAGACATAGATGGATGATCAAATAACTCATACTCTCCCTTAATGGTAATGATGTTTTTTTCAAATAAAGGATCAAGCGCATAATTAGATAACACATTAATGACAAACTCTACAAGGGTCATCATCTAAGTCTGAATATCTTGTTACAATATATTATGAAATATAAGTATTATAACCAAATCAAAAAATATAAAATACAAATAAATATTGAATGAATAAACAAAATGAAAATAATGATTACTACCGGAGTTTAGGTTTGCTATCATAATTGATTCGCGAAAGCATTTTCCTATTAGATGTTTGTAATAGACTGCCCTCGAGGCATGTTAAGCTACATTACTACCAACATCACCTCCAAAGCTGTGAGTCATTTCTGTTGATCATTCAGGCGTTGCTCTTGCTCATCAAGTATTTGCTATTGTTGCTAAATGATTGCTTCATATTTTGCATTTTTTATTGGAGAGGGTTTAGGTTGATTACTGAAGCACTGTGATGGCGACACAAATCGACCAACCCCCCAAACTTAACCATGTCTTTTTTTGGATCCTAATGCTAAAGATAAAGGATCTTTGCCATAATCGGTTAGCAATTCATCGGATTCATATCTCACAGTAAATTTTTTTTGAAACACAAAAAGATGGTGCATAACAAACCATGTATAATATATAATCATGCATACAAGCACAAACTTATCATACGTGATAAAATCACGAATTATACTTACAATCTTTTTAGCCATTTCTTCAGTTGCTTCATCTACGAACGATCCATCCTTTCGCATATGTAATTTTTTCCACACATCCTATCTAGAAACTTCGATTCTAAAGCTAGATGATTCCTGATAAATTAAGGTGATATAAAAAACATATCATATAGGAGTATAAATATTCGTATATGTGTTAATACTTACAAAATCATATTTGATATTTGCATAACTCTTTCTCGATATCTGATGGTGATATATTTGTTTGGCCCAAATATTTTTTTATTGTTATTTCATTTTTTGAAAAAAAAAAGGTAAATCACATATTAAGATATCGAATATATTAAAAAAATATTATAAACAATTAACAAATTGGGTATGCATACTGAGAATTCATCTCATAAATGATTTTGAACAAACTATGATCAATTTTCATAACTAATAACATCTACATAGGACAATAGAGGGTAAACCAACAATTCAGAATTATCAGTGAACAGTAAAATATATTGGGTTATTAATCTGTTTTTAAAGTCTTTGAATACTTTCTCAGTCAATTATAACACAAGCTTTTTATACACAGTTGGGACTTCAAACTGTTCTTAATAAATTTAAAACAATTAGTATTAACACATTAATTCAATTCAAATTTCAAATTAACAAAATTTTGGATATTGTTGAATAGACATATCACAACCAACTCTCGTATACTACCCTTTTTATCATTAGGAACCATCCGCCAATTATGGTACGTAATAGAAATATTGTACTGGACGACCGTTCGAATGTGGCTAGCTAACTTTACACCTTCATCCAACATAGGCTGTTCACTTTGATTGAACTTGACGTGAATTTTTATCCCAATCGCTTTAATTTGTTTACTACGTCCTTTTGATTTTCTTTTTTTCAGTATGAGTGTGTCTTCTTTATGATCAGTAGAATGAGACATACATTCTTCAGATTCTATAATACCAATGATTTTGATCAAAATTATACAAAATACACTAAATTGTCTCTCTATATATCACATACAGTAAAAATAACCAATATTCATTATAGTAAATAGACCAATATACATAAAACATAACAAAACCAATAATATTATATCGGTACAAGCCATACTATGTTTCATCATACCATAATAGTTCCATGCAAAACAATTATTACAAATATAACAGCTATGTTCCACAAAACCATTCAACAAACCACAATACTCAAACCAAACAACAAAGAAAAAAATCATGCATGTAATGAATGGAGGTTGTGCAACATAGGTGAAGGTGATAAATGTTTATAAAATAAAAATAAAAATATATATAGTAAGGTAAGACAAAAATTATATATAAAAGAATATAAATAGTACAAAAAGGATAAAATATGCACATATTGATAAAAATGAGGTGCGACGACATTGAGTGGTTGATAGTTAGTGACAATGAGAAAGATGAAAAAACCAAAATGCAACGTAAATGGGTTGATAAGTTTAGGGAAACACATGCATTGCAACTTTTTGTCATTCAACTTTATTAGTCGTTTAGTTTTCTAAGGTTTAAGCATAGGGAATGAATATTTTAAAATGATCAATTAAGGCGTTTGTATCTTAATTGATTGGTTTTAAAGATAATTTTTAGATTCATTAAGACGTTTATGAATAGATTGATCCAATTTATATATTAGAAAATATGATAATTTAAAACATTTCTATACAAAAATATCTAAATTAATCAATTAGAAAAAATTAAAAAGATCAATTAAAACGTTTGTACACTAAAATGCCTTAAATGATTTATCAATTAAGGCGTTAAAAAAATAAAAAGACTCATTTAAAACGTTTCTGTATATAAATACCTTAATTGATCAGTTATAAAAAAAATAAAATGATCAATTAAGACATTTATGTATAAAAACACCTTGAATAATTGATCAATTAAGGCATTATATATATAAAAAAAAAAGATCATTAAAGGCATTTTTGTACATAAACACCTTAATTGATCAATTATTAAAAAAATTAAAGGATCAATTAAGATGTTTGTATACAGAAAAAATAAAAGGATCAATTAAGATATTTGTGTATAAAAACACCCTAAATAATTGATCAATTAAGGCATTATAAAAAAAATATCATTTAAGATATTTCTGTACATAAATGTCTTAATTGATCAATTATTAAAAAAATAAAAAAATCAATTAAAATGTTTATGTACAAAAATACTTTAAATGATTGATTAATTAAGGCGTTATTAATTAAAATGTTTATGTAACCAAACGCATTAAATGATTTTTTGCAAAATTTATAAAGAGATTAATTAAAACGAATGATTACACAAATGTCTTAATTGATCTTTTTTATAAATTTTATATGAATGATCAATTAAGATATTTGTGTAACTAAATGCCTTAATTGATTTTTTTTTTTAAATTTATAAAATAGGAACCAATTAAGGCATGCAAAGTACCTAACGCCTTAATTGTTCATTTTTCTTTATCAATTAAGATGTTAATGTTTAGAAACGCCTTGATGATATTTTATAAATAAAATAACAATCAATTAAAATATTTATTTTTTTTGCTATTAAAAGCAATATTTGTCATTTAAATATTTATTATTAATAAAACAAAATAAAAAATTATCTTATATACCAAAGAGATTATAATAGTTATACAAAATTAATATACGTAAATTTTTTCAACTAAACAAGTAAATTTGAATACATGATGCTTTAAAAATTTTTAAAAAATCTCGAATACCATACTTTTGGGATCATTTTTCTCTAAAATTCAAAATTCTACGAACCAAACACACTCTAAGTGTTCACATGAAAATCATGCAAAGAAGTTCGAAAGGAAAAAAAAAAGGAAAAGAGGTTAGTTTTCAATATGTTCCAGCAGCTCACGCACAGAAACAAACAAGAGAAAAGCGTACATCCCATAGAGGAGTAAAAAAGAAAATAAACAGACGAGATACATAAACCCAACAAAACATTTACAGGAACCCTCATTGTATGTAATGGCACAAACGGGAAGAGGGTTAACATTAAAAATGTATCAGTTGTTTTTTTGGGTATAAGGATACTCAGCATATTCCACAGCCACGAGTATGGAAGAAAGCATTCGCATCCAAGATATGACAAACAAAAATTCAAAAAACAGATCTCTAGGTCATTATACATGTCGGCCTGGGTAGCGACCGATCAGTCTGCACTGTTCTGGAAGCAAAGACGATACTACTTGTCCATTGAGGGGGAAAAGCTCACCATCAATGCCACAACCATTGTGTGTGTGATTCACAGCCTTAATCTTAACTGATTTCACCTGCATCTCAATTGAAGCTACGGTTAGATGGTTTAAATCAAGTGTATCGAATATGCATATAGGACCCAGTATTCAGTGATCTAACAGTTGGATTAAAAACTGCAAACACCATTATGAATCCCAAAACAAATTGAACGGCATAGGGAAGCTATTCTTATGTAAGAAATAGAGCACTAACTGCAAAACACACGTTCCAACCAGCAACAATTATTTCATCACATGCAGCTAGCCCAGCTGCACTGACAATTTTAACAACAATCTAGCACTTGGATGGACTTTTATGGGGCTCAAAAATCAATTTGCTATATTTGAAATACGAGACTATTTATGGACTAAAGGAAAATTAATGCTCATACCTTGACATACTCAACGTATGGCAGTGAAAGGTGTTTGCCCATCTGTAGCAGCAAGAAAAATCTCATCAGCCTCAGTCGCCCACTCCCGTGAACTAAGAGCATATCCATGGTGTTGTCATCATGTTCAGCTCTTGGAGCCACCACCTGAGAACTCTGCACAGTTCTGCATGCGTGATTGCACACAATGATGCCAAGAAATCGCCCCTTAGTTGTAACCCATTTATCTTCGAATCTTGGGACAACTTCCTTCTTTATTCCTGATTCAGCGTCATCTGATGGACCTGGTAACTCAATTGGATTTTCCCCATCCCAATTAGCCTCAGTGTCCCACTTTGGTTCAGCATCCCAGATTGGACCTGGATCAGACAATGTTGAAGATATATCCTCCCTGTCATTTGTTGCACCATTACCCCAAGAACATCTAGAAGGATCATGTGCTGCAGTCAATCCACTCCATCCTTTGTCTGTCCTCGATTTTGTTCTGGTCCTTGGCCAGTTTGGAGTCGTAGTGAGTGGTAACCGAGGATGAATAACTTCCGGCTCAGCTGTCACATTGCTTCTCCCAGATGATAGCCGTTTAGTCTTAGGATCAAGGCCCCGCACATACTCAGATGGTTCAGTGCTGGCATGAGTGCTACTAGATGTGTCCATCTCTCCTCCAGACATTCGGCTAGGAGTCATTATCGAATCAATACTAGATAGACTAGAGGCTCTGGGAATGCGGTCTGTGTTTGACCTCCTCATAATGTCTGTATACAGTTCTGACATGTCAACTACTCCCTGATCAGTAGAGTTTTTACCGTCTTGATCCTCTTTTGCTGCTGGAAGGTACTCCACTTCAAAGTTGTACTTTGGCAAACACAAAAATTTGAGGAACCCAGCAACAAAATATCGTAGAGGACCAAATCGTTTCTGATATTTCTCAGAAAGTTCTAACACTGCAACACATGAGAAAAAGATACAAACATACAATTATCATTCCCATGCTAAAAGACAATAAAAGATTGGGGAATGATTTTATGCACACATCATTATGGAAATATCTGACATAAGTACATAAGAATGAAACTATTTTAATTCAGGATTAAAGATTAAGGTTTACCTGGTGCCTCAACCTAAAATAGCAACTTAAAGAAAAAAAAAAGCTGCAAACAATAAATGATGGCTAGTCAAAAAGCAATTCTGACATTTAAATTATAGAAACAAACTTATGGCAATGGGACAACAGCTAACCCACCGGGGAAGGAGGGGAGGGGGAATAGATGGTAGCTTTTTCTTGATGCAGGGAAATGCGAAACAAGTGAAAATCCAGTCACCTCCTTTAAAAGCCAAAATTAGTGACTAATTACACACACGCAACATATGATAGGAAAGGAGGATGAATGCTCAAATTATTCAAAAAAGATTATCATGGTCAATAATTGCAACTACGGTTGGAATTGAGGCATCATAGCAAGTATTGATTCAGCCACATGCTAAGATAGCAAGGTATGTTAGATTGGAAGCATCAAAGCATATATCAGACCACATTTCAGACAAACCAAAAGAAAAAAAAGATAATTGCAAGAACAGATGCAGATGTTGACTGAATATAGAAACCAACCAATTTCTATTGTATTAACTACTATAAATCATCTTGTCACCAATACATACCATCACTGACAAAACCATAATAGGAGACCGTCATCCCAAAGTGAATAATACCAGTCTGAACCCACTCAACAGCAAAAACATCTGTAGCAGTAAGACCTCCCTGAAACCAACAAGAGGGAACCTCAATTGTAGGCAACAAATAGGCCAGTAGGTAGTTACTGTATCTAGAAAAAGAAATTTCTGGTATTCTCAACAGTCTTTTTCTTATAATGATGGTTATTACAAAAAATGCATATTTCCACCAATAGGGATGCAATAGCATGGAGACATTTAAACTAAAAGGAGAAAGATATGTGTATGCAAGGTTAGCTTATCTACACTAAAAGGAGAATAGTTCAAGAAATTTATTTCACCAGGCTCCTATAAATAATGTCTTCTATTATTAAGTGGCAGTTCAAAACCAAAAGGTTCTGACCATTAGCATACCATTTCAGTTCACCAGCTGATTAATTTGAATTATGTAGGGGATTGTTAGAAATACTACAAATTAAGTATATTGGCACACAATCCAATACTTGTCAATAGAAGGTATCCATTACAAACACCAATACACATATGTCCTTAGGTGTTGGTATGTCTTTGTTTTAATGACACCTAACATCCAAGTGTTGGTTGATTAACAATCTTATAAGCCAACAAATAAAATTTTGTAAACCTATAAATAGGCTTGGTAATTCAGTTAAACGTACAAGAAGCCTACTACATTTCTAGTTCTAATAGCTTTAAACTTTCCCTCTCATGTTCGGTTATTGAAAATAATTAGTGTTATATACTACAGATCTAGTCACTTAAATAACAAGCTGGTGAGATCAAGGATGGCTTGCTTAATCTCTGTAGCTCATGTGCAAGGTTACAGAGATTACTGGATGCCACGGTAGCTCTGCTTGCACCCTAGATATTATCCAGAGGGTGGAAATCAGTTTTAAGGACAGTGGTCCTGCCACACCTTAGCCTTAAAGATAAGTTTTCTACTATATATAATCTTTAAATATTTTAGTTAGCTTCACTATATAATTAGGAACATACACTTCAATAATCTTCACAGCAACATAATTAGGGTCATCAAGGTGTTGTTAACCAATTTCAGACCCATGGATCAAAAAGGTTTTGACCAAAGGCTAGGCATCAATCTATAAAGGGAGAAACAGAGTAACCACCAAGCAAGCAAATTTCATGTTGAATTTACTAAGCAGCATTACCTTCACAATAGAAATTGCAGCAGAGACTGGATCTCTAACTCCAAGTACAGTCCAAACCAGTGAATTGTCAGAACCTGCTGGTATAATTCCAATGGGTATAGAAATTCCTTCCTTTTGATTGTCTCTACTAAGCAGACCATTTAGAACCTACAAATTTACCAAGATGAAGTAACTAGCTTAATAACAGAAATACCAGCAGAATACCTAATAGCATGCAACCCTATCCAAAGAACAAGGAAGCTTTATATTCTATTACAATGCTTTCAATAAAGCAATCATGTCCCTATCCAGTACCATAAAATCCTCAAACCAGCTAGGGAGAAGTCCCCCACAACAAAGATTGAAAACCTGATGGTTTAGGTGCATATAACACTGAATTTATCATCAAGGCTGATAATAAACTTAAAATCAGATATCCTGTATGACAAGTAGGACTCAACTAAATATTCAGACAAAACCTTAATGAAGGAGAAACAAACAACCATCAAGCATGTGGTATAACTTGGAATAAGGTTTCCAGGTGATTTCTTGCTATTATTATAGATGAAAAGCATGAGCAAAGAAGATGTTTGTTATTCAAAGACATATAAGATGCTTGCTAGAGCATTATATGATCGTAAAGCACTCATCAAGTAGAAAAACAAACTTCATAGGATGAATTAAAATTGTGTATGCTCATGTTATAGAAAGTTGACTACTTTAAGAGAAGAAAAAAAAAAGCAAGGGGAAAAAGAAAAATAACACTGGCCACAGCAATAAAATGACATTGCCAATAACACAACATAAAATTTGACTTTACCCAATCCTAACTACCATAAAAGAATCCTATGCAGCCAATCCTTACTGCTGGGATTAGGGTTTCTAACTAACAATTTAGTTGTGTGCTGTAAAGAGAAAACACATTTCCAATTATTGGCTGATGAAAGCTCAAAATAAATGAAGCTCTGTACCATGTTGAGGATCAGGCAAAACTTCATTTGATACAGATACAGCCTCAATTGAGAATCAGTCCTCTCTACATGACCTTCATTAAGGACATTAATTTGAAAACCAAAGATGATTCATGTTGCAATGAAAAACAATTCTAAACGATGCATAACATAGAAAACATTGTAGTATTCTTCCTTTACAAGGTTAAGTTAGATAAAATTCCACGTTGATTTTGTAATCCAAATCTTTAATGCCATAAATAAGTAAGCTGGAAGAATATACTTGCATAATGAGTAAACAGTAATTACAATGTACTTATAAAAAAACATAGTTATTACTCCTTCCCTAAAACTTTGTCCCAATCTTATCATAGACACAATGTTATTAAAGGCCAGTCCAGTAAAAAATTGATCCAGGAGAAATCACACAATGACACAACAGAATACCGGTTGCCTTGAAAAATATATGAGTAATTTTACTTGTCAGTGTAGCTCAACAATACAGATGGTACTGAAATGGCTAGAAAATAAATAAAACTCTAACATGTACACCAAAAGATTCTCAAGAAGAATAATAAATAGGAAACAAGAATGAGAATTTAACTAAAGTTGAAATGGCTAACCTCATTGATAATCCCATCACCGCCAACGCAGATAATTCCTGAGAGAAAGTAGAATGATTTAAATCCATATTAATGGAGAAGATGATGACAATCATCAAAAACATAAGCTAGAATAAGTAATTAAGTGTTCAAGTAGTACTACCATCAGGGCATGTGCTGATATCAACAGTAGATGCCAGCTTTTTAGCATGGCCGGCAGATGTTGTTTTGACTACCTCCAATTTAAACCCTGCAAGCTGTTGCAGTTTGCATACACAATGTGAAACTCAAAACAACTCAAACTCTAAAATAGCTTCTTCTTGACAATAATATAAGAAAAACACAAGAAAGGACAGCAGAGAATTTATAATAAAGGAAAGAAGCAAGAAGTTCTAAAAAAAGAGAAAATACACAACAAAACAAACGATCATTATCCCAAAAAAATTGTAATGTTTGATCATTTAGTAGTAAAAAAAATCACTAAATTACGCATTATTTAGAACATGACTCATAATCTCTTTCTATATTTTACTTCAATAATATCTAGCATTATAAGGAAAATCCTACCAAATAATGTGTGTCCTAACATGTGTCATAGAATAAGTTGGTACCTTCCAAAAGCTAAGAGTTTACAGACACAGTCACATGCAATGCCAAACATGCAAGAGGATTCATGATATTTACCAGGGAACATTAAAAAACACACTGAATTTAGTCATTTTTATATAAACCTATTTACATCAATTTATGCACTCTTAAGAACAAGGAAATCCTAAAAAATTTAGTAATTTAGCAATGATACATGCTATAATTAAGGTCTAAAGCGTGCTGAAATCAGAGCGACCCTCGCTGCAAAACATGATACAAGGCAACTTGATAATCTAAGGATCTCTTCTTTTACTGCTGAATAGTTTTGCATGATCTTTACCAATTTTTTCACTTTGAAGACAATGTCACAATAACATATTCAACCTCCTACAATTGTTGTAAAGAATCCTAATGCATATTCATTTAAAAATCCACTTTACTGTGACAACACTTTTGCCCATACAAGTAATGCACAAAAAGTCAAAATCAAGGCAGGTTCATGTATTGAAGCAGTTAAGTGGAAGTGCTCATATTAACTTCTTAAACAATAATTTGAATCAAGGACCTACAAGAACCAAATGCATCCGAAGGAAAGTTAAGTCTAGCAGCTTTGGGAGCTAAAAACACACAAACATAGGATACAGAGAAATATTCAATGCAAGTTGACCTAAGAGAAAATGCACTATGGATTTTTATTCATTTTATGGGTAGAGACAGAGGAGAGGAAGAGAACAAAGTACCAACAGCAATTATGATCAAGGACAATCTAGTCCAATGTATCAAATCCATAAACAATGTGGAACAATCAGAACTAAAATCTATATAAACTGGTAAGATAAAAGATAAACAACATACCTTAAATATTGGTTCCACAATGCTATGGAAAACTTTACTTGAACGACCACGACCTGACCTTGGATTCAATATAACAAGCATTTTAGGTGGATTCTTGCACCTGAACACAAGCTCAGGAGGAGTATCCATTGGAAACAATTCAGAAGAAGCTTGCTTCTTAGAAGAAACTAAAGGGTGAGGCAAACAATTGATGAAACACTGCTGATCTGCAAACCCACCAACCCATTGAACTGCCTCTTCTACACTAGAAGCCAAGAAACGAAAATCCTTTCGACTTCTCTTCGGTTTAATAAAACAAGAAAGGCCACAAGAACTCTTTTTTAGAGGGTAAGAATGCACAGTGAAATGTCTAACACCAACATTGTAGGATACCTGTCAAGATAAAGAAAATAGACTGATTGCAAACTAACAAAACCAAAAATAAATACTTATTCATTGAAATGGTCTATTTCAGAGATTAAGTGTATACCGAGATGACATCCTCAAGAGGCAAGACATGAGAACCCCAAACCAATGCCTTGCTAGTGAGTTTAGCAGCAACAGCTTCTTGGCTGGCAATATCAGTAGAAGAACTCTGCTCTACATCGGCTGAATTAGTATTAGTGGGGACATTCTTTCTCTTGTCCAAAATGAGCTTCCCCGAGTAAACCACATAACCAAGTAAATCAGATTTTTCATCCCCTCCTCCAATATCGATTCGGTGCTCGTCCCTCTTGGATTTATCAGGCTGATCATCCGCGACAGGAGCTTCGCTAGGTTTGGAGGAAGCCTTGAGCTTCTTAGTACGTTTCTCTGGGAACACAATTGGGGAAGACTGAGTTGCTGTCTGCGAGCACAAGCTCAGCCGCCTCAACGGCTGCTGGGACTGCGACAACGACGACGACACTCTCACTGACAGACTATTACTACTCCTCGATAGACTCTCACTTTTCTGCATATCCGATCACGCGCTTCTGCTCCGTAATGGTCACCACCAAATTTCACAATCACGGAGAAGAAATAAACATATGGAGACATACAAAAAAATCTTTCTTTTTCTTTTTTTCTTTTTATAATCTCACGCCAGCTGTAGCAGAAGACCCGCAGATTATGATAATGATGATGATGGGAGCTCAAATTGTCATCAAAGGTTTACCCACAGCGCCAATCGTACGACGAATCTGGTAGATCAGCTTACAAATTGCAAATTTTAGTTTAAAAAAATTAGCTTTAATCGAAATTTGTGAACAATTTGGAGACTTGAGATGGTTTAACAGAAATAGAAAACGGAGTTGGAATAAAATTTGAAACTCACCGGAAAACGAAGAAGGAGGCGACTAAGGTGGCGGATCTTACGGCTGCCGGAATGAGTTAGGTGGAGATAAGCAGATTCGTTGATTGAATTCTATAGGGTGAAGAGCGCTGCCTTTTCGGGCTCATTTCATTTTTTGTAAGAGGAAGAAATTTGAGCCCACCTTTTTTTTTTCTTTTTACTTTATTTTATTCAACCGCTATTTGCTCCACTACCTTTTTTATATTAAACGTAGTAATAAAATTATCCTTTGATAAAAAAAAAAAACAACAATAATTCTACTTTTTTTTTTTGTTAAATGGGCCAATAAGGAAAGAAAAATGACGCATTTGCAAGTCTTTCCAAATTCTAACGTAGGCATTGACTCTTTATTTTAAAATTTAAATTTATTTTTAAATTTTTAATTCTTATTTATTTAATTCAATTAAAAAATATATTATAAATTTAAACCTTTTTTCAAAATTCATAACCTTTAAATATTTAATCAACATGTATTTCATATAAATTTATATTTGATATATTATCAATATATAAATTTTATATACTGTCAATAAATTAAACAATATCACATCATTAATAAAATGGAATGAATAATGACATTTTAGTAATAAGTAAATTTTTTAAAGAAATTATGTATTTATTTTAGAAGTTGGCATTCATTGATTAATAAGATAGTATCATCTTATTCATTGACAATATATAAAATTTATATATTGATAATATATCAAATATAAATTCTAAAAATATTATACGCTTAAATATTCTTGAATTTATAACTTTTTAGAAATTTAACCAATATGCATGGGCTTAAATTAAAATCCTTTTAAATTTATAATATGAAAAAACTTCAAATAACACGTCATCTGAAACAATACCATTAATTTTTATATATTTTCAAACTATTTCATATCTAATATGTCACAAATAGAATAAAAATTACTATAATAAATTAAATCGTAAATAAACAGTTTTGATGAGTCTTCTGATTATTGACTGTTTTGGTTCAATTGAACTACAGAAAAAGATAGTGATATATATATATATATATATATTGAAAAATAAATCTAATTAAAAAAATTATTTGATATATTGACAATAAAATTTTTTTAACTTCACAAGCATGATTAAAATGATAATGTATGTCCTATTTTCTTTTTAAATTAATTTTTTAAATATATAAAAAATATATGCCATATCTTAATTCTGTTTATGAAACTAAAAAATTACATTATTATTGCATTGAAATTTTTTTATTAAGAACAAATTAAAGATACGTATTTCTGATATAGATTGGCTTAAATCGGATGAATTAGATATAATTAAATTGATTAATAAAAAAATGTAAGGGATCAGCATCAAATTCTTGTAGATTTCCAGAAGGTAATCAAAGAGCTGAAAAAAGAGGAATCCTGAAAGAAAAAAAAAAAAAGGCTGAAAAAGGTTTGTTCAAATAATAAAAAATTCATTATTAAGTTTTCCCTTCTAAATATGCATGTGGGGTAAGTAAAAGAAACCAATCCATCAAATTTCGCTCTTTACCTATCACTTTAAACCCCAATTCAATCATCATTCTATAAAATCTACCAATTCCCTAGGAAGGCACTTACTTCCCTGCCCTAAATCTTGACACTAAAAACCACACATGCTCCCAATTCTTTTTTCTTATTTTGATACCTCCGATGAAATCCAAAACAGAAAATATTGAAATCTTTAACTTTAATTAATCTTTTTAAGGTACATGCGCACGGCAATGAAAATTGAAAACAATAATATTAGTTAAATTAGTTATAATATTGATGAGATTAAATATTATAATAATTAAATTAAAAGTAATGATAAAATTATATATTTGAATGCAAATTTAATAATGTTAGTAAGATTAAGTATGATAATTGATTATCTGGCCAAAGATAATTCACTCTCAATAAAGCAATCAAATGTCCCATCAAAGACAGTCGATTGTTTCAATTTTACATTAAGAAAGTCAAATAATTTAGATAAGGAGGTAGACTGCCCTGGGGGATAATGAATCACTAAATACTTCTCCCTCCAATCCAACTGGAGGGATGATGAGATTGGAAGCCTGCTGGAATGTTTATCCAAATGCACTCACAGTGCGGTTGAGGCCAAAAGATGCCCCCAAATAAAAAAGTAACAACAGCCGTGAAAGAAAAACCAAACCATTATTGTTCATGCTTTCAGTATTTCACTAAATGGTGTGTTTAACATTAATTTAGAGATAAAGAAGGTAAGGCAAAGCATACGTTTTATATATTGGGCTACAACATCTATAATTATGGATGAGCTATCAGCTATCTAAATATCAAATATACATATCTACTACAAAACTAGCTCAAAGGCTTTCGAAAAAGGGTGAGTGACCATCAAAAGAAATAATTAACTATCTCCGAAAGTGTATATTCACAACCGATGGTGGCAAGAACAAAGTCTGCTGGATGGAGAGAGCAAAAGGCAAAAAAGGATGAAACAGGAAATGGGAAATCTTTTTGCTCCGACCATCTGCGCTACCGAATTCAGGACCTAAACCAAAAGGCTGAACCATTAAAATTTTGACAATATACACCTAACATTTTTAATTGTCCAGAGGAGGGAAAAAAGAAAGCAAAAGGAGCACCATAGAGAGACCAATTATCATGGTGTAAATGAAAAGTGAAATTTAATTAAGCCATAAATGGCGGGATTTATAAAGCCTGGACATTGTTTTAATTATACACAAAAGTTGAAAAGACCCTTAGATTCTTAAAGGTTGAAAGAAAAAACTGACTTTGCTTCAACAGATAATACAAGGGAAAAGCATTACCTGGCTTTATCTTAAATTTGAGAACGTTTGATTGCCTCCTAGAAATGAACCTGATGGGATGATCTGTTGATTGTCTGTGCCGGTCAGTTGCGGAGATTAGCTGTGCAAGAACATGCAAGAAAATGGTGAAGTCTTGATAAACAGGATTCTAAGAGGCAGATACACAATTAGAAGAGGAAATGCATACATAGACAAAAGAAAGGAAAATTAAGGCCTTAGCATATATAAGACAAGTCCGTAAGGACATAAAGGCACGTAGTCATCATAATGATAAATTAAAAAAAAAAAAAAAGATGTAGAAAACATGTGAATGGGTGAAACTAGCAGCCTGTGAATCAAACCTTCTCATCAAATCGGAAGAGAGACTGATCAAAGTAGGGAGAAGGACTCATTGATTGACAATTGTAAGGTAAAGAGGACAACATCTTCTTTACAAACTGCAGAAGAGTCATCAGGCAATTAGACGATGCATAATTGAAGACAGAAGACTTAAAATACCATGCTGTAAATGATATCCAGCAATACTATTATCATGCTTTGCAGAACCCTAACAAGGAAAAATATCAGAAGAGAATTCCAGAAAACATACAAGAAAACTGTAAAACAGTATACAAGTAACCTATGAGAAAGGAATTCACACCTGTGAGCTGGTGGCTTTATTCTTCATGCACTTTAGTTGTTCAAGAGCATGAACATTATTTGAGTGAGACGATATGAAATTCATATACAACGAATTTATTGATGTTGCATGGAAGTGGTCACAGAACTGCTCATAGAGAAGGTAAAGCTCATCTGCTGCATTCTGGAAGAAGTAATAGATCATGTGATTGTCAGAGAGTTCAACAAATAAGACAACACAAACAAAATAATGATGAAATAATACCTGATAGAATGCAACAATTTCAGTTGTCTCCATATTATATACAGCAAAGAATGCAGGATGTTGGTCAGTGTTTCGTGATACCTGAAATTTTCAAGTCAACAAATCATAATGTATTTAAATTAAATATTTCTATATAAAGCGCAGCCATTATTCCAGTCTAGAAAGATTAGTTAAGGGTTTTATGAAAAAGAAATATGAATTTTAAAATTCTTTCATGAAGCCACTGTGATATATTTTCCAATATACCTCAGGCCTATTATCGTATTATTATTATTACTATTATGTACAGGCAAAAGCAAGAAAACCTCACCCCTCCATCAACGCTACCAAACTTGATAAGCAGATGATGCCGGTCCAAGAATTGTACCTGTCCAAAAGTTGTGCAAAAATTTGTTACACATCTGTCAACTAGTGTAATAAGACTTGCATCAACTTTTATTGAAAGACTAAACACAATATACAAGTGACTTCATTTGACTCATGAAAAACAGCAGCACAAGTGTGTAGAACATAAGAAATTAAAATTCTACCTTCCAGATCATCAAGTCAACATAGTTCTGGAAGTGGTAATAGAACTTCTTCTTCAGGCATTGGACCCTCTGAAAATAGCAAAGAAACATTGCAAATAAATCTCTGAAGTTACAAGAGATAAAACTATTTCTGAAGCTCTCTGTAAAGCTCATTGGAGCAAATGATAATTTAAAGCAGTGTGAAAACAAAAGTAACTTCAAAAGAATATAATTAAACATAAGCAACATGAAATACTAATTAGTTTGAGTCCAAGAAAGTCAACTAACTAACCTGGGTTTGATCTGTTTCTTCACTCCATATTTCTCTGAATATGAACGAAAGTAAGCGTTGTTTGATACCACTCAGAAAATAACTGTTTGAATTAGGCTGGTCATGATGTATACCATTATCTACAATGTCTCCACAATTGCCCGACAACTGATGCAGTTAACTTTTGTCAGAAGTTGTGAAGTTCTATCATCAATAGTTAGGTTGTTAGTTCAGACAGCCACACTTGAAACGTGGTGAAAATTAGTTAGCCTCTCAGGTTTAACAACTAAAATGATAAACACTATGGGCAGAGTCCAGAGAAGCATGGTAGTGAGAAAGCCATTTGAGTTCAAAACATTTACAAATAGGAAAGTGACCCAACATTGAAAAGTTTTAAGGACTAACAGGAAGTGAAGGAATGAAAAACCCAATAACTTCAATTTAGCAGTAAGAAAGTAATAACAGTTGAAGTGGGATATACAGATGCCAAAGCTAATCTGTGTGATATCTGCAGAACATGATAAAAGTCAGACAAAAAAACATAAAAGCAAAAGCATCTTGCCTGAGAACTGGAATTAATAAAAAGCTCGTCATCTTCACGACAATATGCACCAATAGCTCGCACATCAACAAGGTTCCCAGAATCCCTGATTTGAAGAATGTGTATTGTTTGATAACGAAGTGACACAACCGCCAGCAAATCGTCATACAAGAAGACACCCATGTTATGGGCCAAATTGACATAATCATTGTGAAATACCTTCTCATCTAGTATAACCCCATCTTCCAACCTAATTGTATTGCAAAAGAATTAGAACAGAACTTCTTAGCATTAACAAAAAAAATTTCTACCTGTAAATTTCCTAATAGAATAATTCTATTTTTTTTGGTGAAATATTAATTACAGCCTATCAGCACTGATTAAATTGCTATTTATAGAAAGAATTCTAATAACTAATGCAGCGTTTCATTTTTTTACAAAGGAGACAGCAGCCTTGGGCTAAGTTAAGAGATTGCAAGTACTGGGATTTGAAACCCAAACCTACTTGATGCCTCGTCTAAGGTGACCACAAAAACCAACTAAAAAGCTCCGGGTTCAATGCAGCATTTCATTTTGAATTTGGCAAGAATAGTGCATTAAAGAGCTAACCAGTATCTATATGCACTCATTAACAAAAACACTTACAATTATTCAGATTAAAAAAAAAAGAAAGCCGATAGGGTACACACACCTCAAGAGGTGAAAAGTAATTTTTTCAATAGATGGGACGCCTTGGATTGCTCCATCCACGGCAGGTACATCTTGAATTTGAGCGGTGGAAGTAGCAAATATTCCAAATTGGTTACTCTCCATGTAGAGAAAGAAGTCTTTACATATAAGCTCATTGCAGGAAGCAAGTGATCTAACATATAACTGTGTGAAGAAACTCTCAAACCTCTTAGCTTTGGGAGGAAGTTCATGGGTATTATCACAATCTTCTTCTTTGCATGAAAATGAAAGCCAGGTTGGTCTATAAACAATCAGATCCTGATGGTTCCTACTGAAACTTATAAAGTACTGACCATCATCCGTGAATTTGCGAAATGAATGGTCCGGACATTCCACGTCATATATTGTATAACTAGGAACTAAATTCTCGTAAAATCTTCTAGCACAATGAACCTGTATTTATTAACAAAAAGAAAAGTTGAGACTTGAGAGAAATTATCAAACAGGTGGAAGGCAAGAAAAATAAAATACAAAAACAAAGAAACAGTAGAAAAGATACGCTGGTTCCAGGCGCAGGGGTGCGAATTTGACGCTCGAAAATTCGGGAAACAACATTGTTGGTTTTAAACATCACCTTCAAATCAATCCTGAAAAATACTTAAAAATTATAACAGTTTCAGGAATTTGGAGTTCTTGAAAGAAATTGAAATGGAAAGTTTGATTTTTTTTTTGTTATTATCGATGAATAGTACTGTAATAAAATAAAAATACCTGGTGGCAAATGGGAGTTAGGGTAGCAAGGACGTGAAGCGTCGACGTAGCCAATGGGAAGGCGGGGAGTGAATCGAAAGGCTGAGAGAGACTTGAGTGGGCGGGCTGTGAGCTACGCAGATTTTCTTTCTTTCTTCCCCTTTTTTTCTTTTTAAAAAAAAAATGATAATAAGGGGGAATGGGCACATCGTCAAACAGTGGACCAATCCTTTAACGTTACCGTAAACGTGTTCCATTATCCTATACTACTTTTGTTTATGTTCATTTTATTTGTCCAGGTCCAAGCATTAATTTCTTCTTTGCCACGTTGACCCTTTACCATTTGACTTTTTGCTCAGTTTTACTCTTTTTCATTGTAGCATTCTCCAAATATTGTTCATCGTTTTTTTTTTTTTTCAGGTAAGTCTGATAATCTAATTAGCTAAACAAAAAATCCTACGGATCACAAATTTTTCATAAACCAAACGTGTTAATCACTTAAACATTCCGAATCGAAAACTGGCTATAAGTGAAGGGCCGATCGCCGTTTTGATCGTCCGCCCCCGAGCCGGCTTCTGGTTTAATAACTGTGGGCTAATGCAGCGGCAATTCATCATTTTCTACTGCTCAGGCTGGCGTGAGAGACGGTCTAAACTCCTGCGCCCTGCATTTGTCCCTTGCAAATTTGGGCCCGAGACCTCTTTATAAACGTTGAGGTTTCTTGTTGAGGATCAGTTTTACAGTGCAAAACAACTTATCTTTCAAAAAAAAAAAAAAACGGTTGGCCACCGGGATTTGTGATGATTATGTCATTTCAATGACTTAATTTTATGTTTGTTCCTTGAATAAAAACAGAATTATTTGCTGTATTCATTCAAATGTATTCTTTCTAAGTGACCGTTTCCATGCTGACAATCATTTCATCATGGGCAATATTCCCTAATCCCCATCCTTGCTTTTTGAAGGATATGTATATTTTTCCAGGGGATGATGAAGAACACACATCAATGAAAGCATTTTCTGTTAAATTTTGAAATTTTCATTGCATGGTAATACGAGAATTTAGTCTAATGCCAACAGTCACGTGGTCTATGTTGATAGAATATTGACTCTTAATTCAAGATCAAACCTTGATAGTCTCAAATATATTAAAAAAAATAAGTCTAATCTTATTGTTTAGTTCATTACATATGTAAATCTGAAAATCTCGGCAACACTGCAACCATCACTTGCAACCTGAAATCACCTTTTATGCATCTAATTAAAGAGGAAGGCTTTGCTTCCTCCATATTATTAAGGACTAATTTCATGTACTGATCCGAAAAAAGAAAAAAGAAAAAAAACTAATTCCATGCCACATCAGGAATTACAAGTTCTAAATGAGGACCGTGACATCAGGTGACTACTAGCTAAAACCCTACAACAGAAGAGACTGTTAACATTCCATAGCAACTGGCGTTAGGTGGAAGTGATTGTTTAAGCAATTGGCTTCAACACATACATTTTGCATGAATGAGAATCCAAAGTTGCTGTCAGATTGCCCACAAATCGCGTCTCCAGTGTTTTGTGCTGCAAGAGATGTATACATGTACATTAGAAGGTGTGCCATAAGAGTTAAGATGCAATGGAAAACAGCAGCACCTTGGAAAATGACAGTAGGATATGCTAAAGCTTGTAGCAACAATTTTGTACCTCCCAAATGTCTCTTGCTTCAACAACACTCTTGGGGTCTAGTCCAATATCATCCCAGCGAGCTGTTACAGAATAACGAACAGGACCCCTGTTGAGTAGGACCACAGCTACTCTATAGCCAGAAAGAGCAGCTGCCCAAATCTGTTTTAACGCAGAGAAAAAAGGTAGGAGTGACAAATCTGAGCAGAGTATGGCATATTAGCATAGAGTGAACCAAAAAGAGGCTGTATAAATTTTACCTCTTGATCACCTTCCATCCTAACCTTCTTAGCTTGAAAACCATATGGATCTATTGCAGGCCGTAACATGAAGTTATAAAAATTGATAACTATTGATGCATGAATTACGGATGGAACAAAATGGTTTTTGTAGAAAGGTACTTGTAATTACCTTGGTTAACAGCAATGACCTCTTCATTTGCAACGATCTCCATTGTCTCTTTTGTCATATTCCTTATGTCACAACCAAGAAGAAGAGGAGCCTGCAATAAAATTTAACGTTTTATCAACCAGATGCAACATGCTTATCACCTGGCATCAAAAGGAAGATTTCATCTGCAATACCTTGGAAATAGCCCATAAGCTGAAATGTACTATATATTCATCTTTTGTCATCCCTCCATTCCCCACCTCAAGCATGTCAGGGTCTATTGAAATAAAAGACATATTAATAAGTTTATCAGAAATCGTACTTATAAATGATTTCTGCATTGTTTAAAACATCGCAACGGGTAGAGAATTCTAACCATTCCAACCACCAGGCCTTGCATATTCAGCATAAACTTCATTCTGGTCAGCCCTGGAGATCATACTGCCAGGCAGCAAAAATTATAAGTTATGGCTCTTGGCCAAGGCTAGGATTCCCAAAAGAAAAAACCAACTTTCTCAGCATGAATCTTTACCTATCCCATGTATCAGATATGTCATTAGTTGTCCTCCAGCTATTTCCTACATGGGCACCCCATTCAGCAGGGTGCATATCTCCCCTAAGAAACCAAAATGAAACATAAGTCAAACCAAGAAGAATCAGCAAATACTTGATTAAAGGCTTAAGTTGCCGTGCTTCAGAAGGTACCATTCACACACAGAGAAGAAGATGGGGTGGCCAGCCTTCATCAAAGCACGAGTCATGACAGGGTATCTACATGAAGAATAATAGTGACATATGAGAAGATGGCTATAGGTTTTGGATACAGTGCCACAAATTTGAACAATAGGCAATTGTGTAATTGAATTGTTATCATAGATATGAATACACTACCTTTCAATTGGCTTCGAACCATCATTATGGCAGTTATCATACTTCAAATAATCAATACCCTGCAAACAAAACAATTACCACATTGAATTATTTTTTATTTATTATAGATAATAATAGTAACAACTTTTTTTAATTGCAAGTGTATGCAATATAAATTTAAAAAAAAAAAGATTAATGCATGGAAAATGATCACTGAAATCCATACCCATGAAGCGAAGGTTTTAGCATCTTGTTCTTCATGACCAAGTGAACCAGGCATCCTCTTACTACAAGTAAAATACCTGGAAAATAAACAATAGTATATCCATTAGCTTTGTTGTAGCAATTACAGGATTCATAGAAATTGAACAACCACAAGCAGCATTCATTTTTCTTTCTCACAACAGTTAGAGTTACATTACCCTGCATCTGAGTAGACCCCTAGCTTAAGACCCTTGCTGTGAACATAATCTGCCAGAGCTTTTATTCCAGATGGAAAGGTTGACTTCTTAGGCACTAGATTACCCTGAAATTGATTAGAGTCCGGTAGTTATAGCCACATCAACTTTTTCCATCATTCATAGGAAAATCATTTCTAGCTTTCTACAACATCTAACTTGTTTTATAGAAAAAGAGGCAGTGCATATGAAGAATTTTTGAAGGAAAAAGAAATTACCTCGTCATCCCGAGAAATTTCAGCCCAGCAATCATCTGAGAAAGCAGATGGTGAAATGTTTGGTCAACCACTTTAAATCAACGATGCCGATAAAGGGTACTACTTCAGATTAGAGGCATTAAAATAGTTATAGCAGCATACCTATATTAACATACACATATCCAAGCTTGGAAAGCCCAGTTGAAACTAGAGCATCAGCTGTCAAACAAACAAAATATTCATGTTTAAGGCAGTGTCTGTGCTACAATAAATATGAAAGCAAAATCCATACAAAAGTAGCCCTTTTTCTAAGTTATAAACTTGTTTATCACTGTATTATCAACCAACCAACGAAATCTGGACTGAGGACTGCTTTTAAAAAAGAGGATAAATTCAAATTAAAGGCATATGTGGGTATTATATCTACCAGTTTCTTTGATCATTTTTTCATCAATATTGCAGCCGAAGTGATTCCAGCTGTTCCAACTGCAGGGAAATGGAAATAAAAAAAGATTACGAGTTAATCCAAGCAGAATCATCAATTTCTTCTAGCGAAAATAAGATAATCAACCCATAATCATGTTTCTTGTAGAAGTGATGAAACAGAGAACATAATCTCAGCAAAACATTATCAAAGTTCAATCTTAAACAGATTACCCATTTCAAATTTATCATGAAGAACAATGTTAATTAACGTATCACAACTCGAATCTGGTGACGGCATAACAATGTTCAATGCAGACAACACAACTGTCAAAAACGATGTTTTTTCAAAGAAAGCTTTCACGTTTTAACCTCCACCGACCAAAATTTTTTGACAAGCAACCGCTCAAAACAAGCATAAAAAGTAATGCAGTGAGTACATAATACAATATAAAAAAAAAAAAAGAAAAAAGCAAAGAGCAAAGCATAGGATACCCCATGGGAGGAGTCATTCCAAGACTATTTGTCAGCATACTTCTCCTGCTGGTTGCTGCTGTTAAAGACGCCAACCACATCACCATTATCATTGTTATAGCCACAGCACAGCCTCTCTTCCCCATCACCGCCACTGCTTTAAGAGTTCTCCAACTAAAAAAACACTGCTTTAAACTGTTTTCAAAAAAAAAAAAATACACACACAGTGATCTCTGGTCCTTGTATGAATTTATAATAATGAAGGGAAGTAGTAAAAGGATAAGACTAACGTGACGGAGGCAGTGGAAGTTGTAATTTATGGACATATGCGAAAGACTCACGCACTTTCTTTATAATACCAAATTGCCCTTGTACATTTACTGCATTAATTTTCCCTATAAATGAAATTTATTCGATTAGGATTATTTTGCTAATTAATCGTGTATAGGTCAATCGAGTTGGTGAAAAAAAGTTTTATTTTTCCAATTAAGATTGGAACTTTTTAAAAGTTTTTTAGATAAAACGTCGTAATTTAAAAATGTAAAATAATATTATAAGTGTTAAAATTTAAAATTTAAATTTATTAAATATTATATTTTAAATATAATTATTTGAATTAATTGAATTAAATTTTAAAATTTTTTATAAACACTTTATGTGATAAAGGAATGTATCTTTAAAATAACATAAAAAAATTAAATTTAGATAAAAACATAAAATTACCATTGATTGTATTATAAAAAATTAATTATCTTCAATAATCATATGTTATAAGCTAGTTTCAGAGATTAAAATTCAATTATTTATAACTTCAAATACAAAAAATATGTATTATTTATGAAATGGACTTATGAAAAATGAAAAATAATTTAAATTTTTTTATTGATTTATCTATCACCCCTTAAATTAAGCAGTAGATTCTCCAAATATTAATATTCATTTTCATATCTTATGAATTAAGGTTGATAATTTGTTAATGATTTTGTGTTTAATAGACAATCCATCCACATCCCTAATTTCAGAATCCGAGTAAATAATTTTTCCATACCTTTTATTTGACTAGGAGGATTATTGATTCATACTTGTATTCCCTAATTTCTCCATATATTCAATTTCTTGATTGTGGGATTGTATGCAGGCTTTTTTAGGTTTCTGCAAGCCACTTTGTCACAGGGCAAATTTTTTATTTAAAATAATTTTTATATATCTTATTATATATATATGTGAAAATTAATATACTCTAATTAAATTATTTATCAAATTATTTATAGATTTATAATAGCATTAATTAAATATTTTTATATTAATCATATTATTATTGATAATAATCAATAAAGAATTTTTAAAATTCATTTTTATATAGTTGTTGAATGAAATATAAGTTAATATATATAAAAAAGATACTTGTAAAAATATATATTAATATGTATGTGGGTGTAAATTATATTTTAAAAATATTTAAAAAACAGCAATGTACTTGGGAAGCGCAAGCAATTAATTAATTATACAGCCCTATTTCATGTTTTTAAAAAGTAGTGTGATTTTTGGGCTTTTGCGATGCTGAAAGACAAAAATGATAAATGAAGTGATGTAAATTGAAAATTTTATATTCATTGGATCAATAAGTAAGTAGCTTCTTTTTCTTCTTTATAATTTAATTGTTAAGATATATAATCCTAAACATATTAATTAATTATGAGTTTTTTCTGATAAAGGACTATTTTAGAATTTTATTTTTTATTAGAGATAATTTTAAATTTATTTCTTAAAAAAAGTATTCAATACCATGTCTATTGGCTGTAAAAATACAATAAAGAAAAGAATGCTAAGATTTGAAAAGATGATGTAATGCCAAAACCAAAAGGAAGAAAAAAGAAGCCATTAGGCTTTAGTTCCAAAAGCAAGAAAGGTACGTGGCAAGAAAGGACGCACGCAAGAAAGAAAAGAAAAGTAATGAATCCAATGACACCATTGATCCATAAAATTGTGGGTCAATATTTGCCAGCTATTATAATCTTTTTTTTATTCTGGATGTGGATTTGTCGTTTGAAAGTAAGGCAAAAAAATTTCTCGATTGTTGTGTTTTTTTTTTTTTTCATACCTGAAAATGATAATTGATTTTTATAAGTGCAATGGTACAAGTGCTGGTCTATTTTTAGAGTTCGATGTGAGTTTTGTTGACTTCAAAGTTGATTCTATTTTATATATTATTAAATTTTAATTTAATTTAAATTTTATATTTGAATTTAATTTTGATTTAATATTACATAAATAATATTTAATTTAATTCGATTTAAAATTAATAAAATATTATTTTTTAAAATATAAAATATTATTTTTTTAATATAAATATTTAAAAATATTATTATATAAATATATAAATAAAAATTTAATTAATTAAAAAATAATTTTTTATATAATATTAATTAAATCGAATCAAATTTATTTAAAATTTAAATTTGATCTAATCTTGATTGTTTCATAATTTTATCTAATTTAATTTGATTTAAAATTTAAATTTAAAAAAAATCAATTTCGTAAGATCAAATCGCTGACCCTATCTATTGTAGTTTTGAACCGTAAACCTGAAAAAGACACTACTAGTGAGAGGAAAGTGATTGGTTATGACTTTGTGAAATTAGCAGGAATATTCCAGCATCAAAATTTATTACCTTACTTGCCGTTCGGTTTTACTCTCTATTCTTTTCTTGCACAATTTACGGATAAGCGTGATTTTGAAGAAACAGACGCATCTATGTTATAATATGTAAAAATATTTCAATTAAATTATTATAATATCTCTTTTCATATTTGATAAAAATTTAATATGTTTTTAAATTTATTATTATGTTTTTTATTTCATAATTATGAAAATATACTTCTTTTATAATCATTTATAAAATTATCTCTAATTAAATTACTATAATATCATTTTTCATATTTGATAAGAATTTAACATGTATATAACTTTATTATTATACTATCATTCCATAATTATTTAAATTCATTTTTTATAATTACTTACTATAATACTCTTATATTATAATTACAAAATACTCTTTATTTTATAATTGATCAAAATTATTATAATATCATAATCACGAAAATATCTCTTTTATAATTAACTAAAATTATTATAATATCATTTTATCATAATTACAAAAAAATTTTATCATAATCGATCAAAAGTATTATAATTATAAAAATGTCTTTATAGGTATAAAATAAAAAATTGATTTGTGCATTTTACTTCAAAATCAATAACATATATTAAAATAATCCCCTTGAAAATATTATAATAACCTTTTTATATGACATTAATACATGTCTAAATTTATTACAATGTCTTATTACCATAATTACAAAATTATTTATCTTCTTATAATTAGCTAAAAATATTATAATACTCTATTACAATAATTACAAATTTGCTTTTTTTACTATAATTGGTCAAATTTACTAAAATGCCATTATTAACATAATTACGATAATACCCCTATTATAATTGGCAAAAAATTACTATGCTTTTCATACTATAATTATGCTTTTATACTATAATCACATAAATACCCTTACGAGTGCTTTACAAGAAGTTGCTATGTTGCATTTTGTTTCAAATTATCATAATATCCTTATTAAATTATATATTAACAATTAATATAATATAAAATTAACTACATATTAAATTAATAAAACACCTTTGCAATTGTTTCATAAAAATTTGACATGTGAAATTTTGTTTGAAATTTATTATAATATTCCTATTAAATTACATATTAAATGTTAAATAACATATGTTAAAACAATTTTTATAAAAACTACTATAACTCCCCTTGTATATTTGATATCAAATTGACACGGTATTTAAATTTACCACAATACTTTTCTACTCTAATAACAAAAAGTATCTCTCTCTCATATTTAGTCAAAATTATTATAATACATTCATCAATAATTACATATATATCCCTCATCCCATAAATTGATTAAAATTATTATAATACCCTCATAATTACGAAATACTCCTATCATAATTAATCAAAATTACTATAATATTTTTATATCATAATTACGAATATAATTCTTATATCATAATTAATCAAAATTACTATAATACTCTTCGTATCATAATTATATAATCATCCTTACAAGTACTCCATAGAAAGTTGACATGTGGCTTTTGTTTTAGAATTACTCTAATGCTCCAATATAAAATTAATCATATATTAAATTATTAAACTATCTTTATTATTGCTTTATACAATTTGACACATGATATTTTATTAAAAATAATCAAAATTACATGATCCAGTGAACTAGATAAATATAATTTTTATTAAAATAAAAAATTAAATAATTTCCATTAATGAAAAATGATGTTAATCTTTTCCGAAATTTTTGTTTTGTTTTTTTTTTTTTTCAATTAAAGGAGCATTAGACGTAATCTGTTTCAGAAACCCATTAAACCATCATCTGGAGTATGTATGCTTGAGCCCATTCTGCATGATGAACCCAATAACCCCGCTTCAAACGTTTCTACTCCAACAATGCATGAAGTCCAAGTTTGACAACTAATACACCAACAAAGTTTCAAATACAGAAAGTCCACTAGACCAAAAACAAATTCTAAAGGCCTAAAGAATCAAGAAAACCCTCTATATGGATTCCCTTCGGCCTTTTCTTGCTATTATTTGGTTTGGGGTTATAATGAAGCTTTCTCTAAGAAACAAATTTTTGTTTTTGTTGTTTTAAACAAGTTTTTTTTTTTTTGATCTGATTAAACAAATTGTTTTCAAATACTATATAATCATGAATAACAGGATCCAGGAACCCCTGCTTGTTATTTTCATTCCAGGCCGCATGATGAAATCCACCATAATTATTGCTAGCTAGCAGGAAATCACAAGCCAGACAAAACAAAATAGAATCCTGTAACAATAGCTTAGGGCAACATTGTCTCCCGTCTGAATCCTCTACTAAAGTTGAACTAGCATAAAAGATCATGAAAAGCAATACAAAAAACCACCTTTGAAGTCCTTCAATGGATGCTACATCATCACTTCACTATGCAGATCTTAATAACAGAAGCAGCACCAATACGGTGAAGTGCAACAATGGCATCACCAGGCTTGCATAGCCCCTTCTCTGTAGCTGACTTCAGAGCAGCTTCCAAGATAACCTCAGTAGATTCTGCATCAGTTGCCTTAGCGGAGCCTTCTGCCAGTAGAGGAACCAAGCCCCTATATATCAAACTATGTCTTGCCGGCTTTTCATCACTGCAGGTCCAATCAAATGAATCAGTTGTCAAGACTGGGACAACCACGGATAGGATAGGAACAGCTGGTCTGTACTTGGCAACCAACTTGGCTGTCGTTCCACCGCGCGTTAAGACAACAATGAGTTTAGCTTTAGCCTTGTTAGCTGTTCGTACAGCTGAGGATGCAAGACTTTCCAATGGGCTCATTGGAAGTGGAGTTGATCGAATCATTTCTTTAAAGATTGCAGCATAGTCAAGGGAAGATTCTGCCTCAATACAAATTCGAGCCATAATCTTCACAGCAAGCTCTGGATAGGCCCCAGCAGCACTCTCGCCACTGAGCATGACACAATCAGTACCATCGAGGACAGCATTAGCAACATCAGTAGCTTCAGCACGGGTTGGCCTTGGAGACTTAATCATAGATTCAAGCATTTGAGTGGCAGTAACCACTGGCTTGCCTGCAAGATTACACTTGTATATCATCATCTTTTGTGCTAAGAAGATCTTCTCTACTGGAATTTCCATTCCAAGATCACCACGGGCAACCATAAATGCATCAGTCTCACGCAAGATCTCATCAAAGTTGATGACACCCTCCTGGTTTTCAACCTAAAAGAATAACAACGGCCATATCACTTATCAGTCTAAAAACAAAAATAAGAAGACTCATCATAGCCAATGAAAGACTAGAGTATCCAGAAAGGAAAGAAAGAAGGAAGGAACACACAATGTCAAACCTGGCAATCTGTGCCATCAAATATTGAAAATCACACATTGAAACCCAAGCAGGCACAACACGTGCAGACAGACACAGTTCACCAAACAAATGGATTTTGCAAATTGATGTACAATAATGGAACTGAAAAACAAACTACTAAAGATAAACTTAATTTACTTCTCATAAATACAAATGTATCACCCTAGGTCTTCTTCTCTTAATATAAAAATCATATGCTGCTGGACATGCAGAACAACCGCAAAGCAGGCACTAACTACATTCAAGTTGTGGTTAGGTCTAAATCCAATAGTCTGTGAGATCAAGCAGTAATTATATTCCACAAGAATGGAGGCCCTACCAACTCTTCTCGAATAAGAGCAACAGCAACAGCCCACAAGGAAACCTCCAACCATAAACAATTTCATTGCATAAAGAAACCACATAGAATCTAATTATTAATCATAATTCAAAAGTGAAACAGATCAACAAACCTTCGACATCAATTGAATCTGCTTCGCATGGGGACCAAGGACCTTACGGACATTAACAAGATCAGACCCTTTGCGTACAAATGAAAGAGCAATCATATCAATACTGTTGGGAACTCCCCATCCTAAGATGTCTTCCTTATCCTTCTCCGTGAGTGTGGGAAGATCCACCACAATACCAGGAAGGTTGACATTTTTTCTCTCACCAATCATTGCAGTATTCTCACAGCGGCATCTCACAGTTCCAGCAGCAGGATCGCAGGACAACACTGTTAGCGTGATTGTACCATCTGCACACAAAATGTTATTTCCAGGCTTCAGATCAACAGCCAGCTTTTTGTAGCTCATGGAGATCATCTTCTCATCTCCCTTAATATCATAATCAGTAGTTACGGTAATTTCCTGGCCTTCTTTCAGTTGAACAGCTTTCCCGTCCTTCAGGAATCCAGTTCGAATCTCAGGTCCCTGCAACAACAAAGCACAGTGAAATACAAAAAACTATCTGAAGAAGGAAAATACAAATGTTAGAAAAACCGAGAACAAATAGAGGAAAAAAAATCCTTAGGACCCATTATCTTTCATTTTAAGTTTATTAGATTATTAGATATTACAAACAAAATTTCATATTGGCATGTTGGATTAGTAATGTAGAAAATTTCTGGGCTCAGTAAAGTGAAATGTCTCAAAATAATTTCTTATTTCTCCCACTTTTTCCCATTCACAGACACACTGAAATTACTTTCAAGTTAAATTTCTAATTGGAAAACAAAATGTACAAAAAGGCTTCAACATTTATAAACAACTTCATACAGATTATGCTATCGTCATAAAACAAGGATATAGTAAGAAAATGGACCTTGGTGTCAAGCATGACAGCGCAGAGAATGCCTGTATTTTGCATAGCAGTCCTGAGATTGTTCAAGGTCTCTTGATGATACTCATGGCTGCCATGAGAGAAATTGAAGCGAGCAACATTCATCCCAGCCCTCAGCAGCTTCTCTACCATGGCTACGGACCGTGAAGCGGGACCAAGAGTACATACTATCTTGGTTTTGGGAACACGGCCATCATTCGGAAGCTCCTTCAAGATTCCATCAATGTCTATATTGGCCATCTCCTTTGCTTAACCCTCCTCACTTACAAAATATCTGCACCCATTATCAAAAATCAAAATCATCAAACGAGCTCTATTTCAAAGTAAAAAAGTTTTTAAAAAAAAAGGAGAAAAAAGTGTTAAAAGGGAATCGTTTTCCATTGACAACATCTACCTAAGAAGCCGGAAATTTACAAAAACCCAAGATAAGGAACATAAAAAAACAAAAAATTGAATGGCTTAAACTGAAGTAAATAAAAAAAAAAGAAAAGAAAAGAATTACTATTGTAAGAAAAAACAAGCGGTTAAGTATAGCGTGTTGAAGAGAGATATCAGATCAAGAAACAAAGATCGTTTTGTGATATAAATACAAACAAATATAACCAAACAGAAACCAAAAAAAAAAAAAAAGCTTGCATGTTAGACAAAGATATCAGTACTAAATAAATAAAAGAAAAAGGGGAGGGAAAGGGGGCGAAATCGCCATACCGAACAATCCGAGGCTCGTGGGCTTACCAAATCAAACCAAACCAAATCAAGTGAAGAGTTAGGGAGAGAGAGAGAGAGAGTAGTGATAAAATATGAGTCTTGGAAAGCAGGAAAGAACAGAACAGCAGGGGGTCAGGGTGACAATGGCTTTTGCAAACCGGAGGAGTTAATAAAAAGGAAAGTTGGCAATTTCGGACACTTGGTGGTAGATGGGTCATAAGAGAGCTTCGTAAATACGGACACTTCGTGGTAGATGGCACATGACATGGTCGATTAGTGTTGTGTTTCCTTTCTCTACCTTATGCCAGATTCTTAAAACGGTGCGAATTTTGCTTTCTCCGTATACAAAACAAAGTCAATGAACCTGTCAATTTATATACTCAAAAAAATTATAAAATACAAAAACTAATATAATTCTTTTAAAAAATATCACTTTTTTTTTATTATTTACGTATTATATCATTTGTTATATTTAAAAGAATTAAATATAAAAATGATCCCTGTACTATATATATTTTTTATTAATTTGATATTTTAAAAAATAAAATTATCAATTTTATTATTCAACTTTTATTTCGATATTCACTTTTGTTCCAAATATTAATGTTATTAATTAATTTATTGATATAATATAAACATTTAATAAAATATTAACTCGTGTAAAAAAATTTCAATTAACATTACATTATCAATTATCACGTCGATATTAAAGAAAAATGTTTCAATAAAATTCAAAAAAATTTTAAAAATTATAAAAAAGTTAAAAAAATCTGAAATATTTTTTAAAATTATAAAAATTCAAAAAATTATGAAAATTTAATAAATTTAAAAAAATATCAAAAATTTAATAAGAAATCAAAAAAATAAAATATTTCTAAAAAATTAGAAAAAATGAAAATTTTAATAAAAGTAAAATTTTCTTAAAATTAGAAACAAAAAGATTAAGAAAAACATAAAAAATTTAAAATTAAAAAATTAAAAATTTTTTGAAAATTTTTTAAAATAAAGAAATCTAAATTTTTTTTTCAAAAAATCTGTAAATTTTTTAAAAATCTGAAAATTAAAAATTTAAAAATATAAACATTTTAAAAATTATAAAAAATTAAAAGAAAATTTAAAAAAATTAAAATTTAAAATTTAATAAAAATCCAAAAATATTCATAAAAATTTTTCAAAAATTCAAAAAATATATAAAAATAAAATTGTAAAATTCAAAAAATGAAAAATTTTTAGAATTTTAAAATTTTTTTACAATTCTTTTAAAATTTTTAGGCTTTTTCAAAAAATTTTAGATTTTTTATTTTATTTTAAATTATTTCTGATTTTTTTAATTTTAAGAAAATTTTAAATTTTTTTGGATTTTTATTAAAAATTTCAGATTATTTGAATCTTTTAAGTTTTCATAATTTTTTAAAATATTTCAATTTTGTTTTTTTACTTTTCCTATAATTTTTTAAAAAATTAATTTTTTTTAATTTTTTGAAATGTTTAGATTTTTTTGTGAAAATTTTTTTTAATGCTGATATAACAATTGATGATGTGACATTTATTAAATTTTTTATACATGTCAATATCTTGTTAAATGTTCATATTATGTCAATATGTTGATTGACATCGTTAATCTTAAGTATCGAAGTAAATGACAGAATAAAAATTGGGATGTCAAATTGATAATTTTATTTTTTTAGAGGTTAAATTGACAAAAATAGTATAAAGTTTATTTTTATATTTAATCATATTTAAAAATATCAAATCTACTATTAAAGATTTTTTATCACTTTCATATTTTTATCATTTTTCATATCATATATTCTATTATATTTAAAATTATCAAAATCTACTTTTTTTAAGAGTCAATTTTTTTTGTAAAAAATTTAGAGTGATAAATGACTTTTTCATTTAAAAATTAAAACAGACCGTAGGTTTCGAAGAAAATTTATTTATAATTAGTTTATGAAAAACAAACCTTACAAACAAATATTTAAATCTTACCAACTTAATCGATTCGTTAACTTTTTAACTTTTAAACAATTCTACTTATAATAATACTTTAAAAATGTTTTCCATAAACTAATTATAAAAATATAAAAATAAAAAAGCACATGGTAGGCATGTGGATGGCAATGAGTTATTGTCGCTAGTTTTAACTTTCGTGTGTGTTCGTGTGCGACGAGTCCACATTTTCAACTCAAAATACATGTTTGTTAGGTGAAGGAAAATCAATGATTTTATAGCCCAAAACCACCCTTTTGTCTTAAATATGTGAGATTCGTGATATTCTCCGCAATTCAATTATGCAACACCTTTATTGCATTGGTTCTTTCACCCATAGAGGAGAAGACACCTATCTTGACTCTAATATCTCTCATGGAATCATCCACAGAGGAAAGGAAACCACCTTGCTCCTAGTTTATCTCAATCTTGATATCTTTCATGAGATTTCACATCAATGAATAGTTTAATCTACTCGAATATCACTTGTCATGATCCACATTTCAAACTTGAAAAACATGTTTATTACACGGAGAAGACCATGATTAAAACAATTTAAAAAAAGACGATGATTTTTCTTCCTACCCACCCTCCCTTTCCATAGAAGAAGTTACAGAGCTTTACCGGAGCATAACAAAGGTTAAAGGCAACCAAAGCACATGTAATGAAGAGCCTTCAATTCTTTTCCACCCAATACAAAGACTCTCTCTTAGAGGCTAGCTACGGGGCTTACTACAAACCGCTTTACCAAACTGACAATGATGATATGGAAATGGAATATGAGAATGATAGCCAAGACCTCAATCATTGAGATGACACTGATGATATTAACATCACATTTACAAAAGTGGAAAAACTACGCATTCGATCAAAATGGACAAAATCACTCATCGTTAAGGTCTTTGGGAAAACGGTCAACCTAGAAAATCTTCTGCCAAAGTTTGTTACAGTAGAAGGTCATAAAAAATCGATCATATATGAGGATATTGGACTCCTGTGCTTTGACTGTGGACGTATAAGGCATAAAAAGGAAACATGTCCAGAGACTACCTCCAAGATTTAGGTTAAAGAGGCATCAACTTTATTGAACAATCCACCATCATCGCCCATCTCACCCAACCTTAATTTAGAAGAGAAAAAGTATGGTCATTGCAGGGATTTAAATAGCAGTCGCGGTCACGTTTTTTATCGCGTAACATTTGTCGCGTTTTCGGATATAACGGAGATAATTACGGTTACTGCGGTCATCACGATTGTGAAATTTTTTTTTTGACATAATTTATTATAAAATGTAATAATTATAATTATAATTATAATTATAAAAACTCTTATTCAATGATTTTAAAAATAGTTTATGACACTCTATATTTTTTATTTTCTAAAAAAATTATTCACAATTTTATTTAGATTATAAAAACATTCATATTTGATTTATCCATAAAATTTTTCTTGGCCAAGTTCATATTCGATATTAATTCTAGACAAATCAAATATTAACAAAACATAATATGTTAAATACCAAGCATTTAATTTAATAAAATTACAAACTTAAAAATATAATAAATTCAAATTCCATCAACTACAATTATTGATATATATTTCAAATTTACCACATGGTAGAATGACGATGAGGATCAGATTCTCTATCTTCACTTTGAGAGCCAAGTTGACTCCATCTCTATCTCTGAGACCTTTGTTCTTGATACATTTAAGGTGAAGGATATATTTGAGGATGATACATTTGTGGTGGAGGGTACATTTGTGGTAACTGATACATTTGAGGTGGATAATAACCATATGGAGGTGGATAACCATGAGGAGGTTGAAAATTATGTTGTTTTGGTGGATAGTAATGTCTTTGAGTACTAGCAGATGATTCACTATACTCAAAGTTACTAGAATTTGGTCTCTCACCTGAAGATGAAGAACCTCTAGAAATTTCATAGTGGTGCTTCTTTGCTTTTCCTTTTGATCAAGTTGTATGTGCACTTTGACCCTCACTAGATTCAGCAAATGGATTTCCTCCATATTTTGCCATATTAATAAAAAGTCCACCAGTAGCAACAAGCCCAAATTCTCCTCCAAGTGGATTGTAAGGTCGATTTGCATCCATATTATCACTAAAATTCACACCATCACCATCTCCATCACCATCACCATCATTATCTAGACTTAAACCACCATCATCATCACTCTGACTTGGTGTTGGACTTGAACTTGAATGAGACACATTCTTTTCTTGAGATTGACATGATCGTTCAACATTGATTTCATTATCAGAATTATCTGCAGGCAATCAATCAGAGTTTTGACCATTTAATAGAGGATTTTTTTTCTCTTGCAGTCATTCTGTTAGTGGATCATCATTTTCAAAAATATGGTTAAGGCTAATAGGATTAAAACTATTATTTATTTTATCAATGCTCATTCTTTTTTGATGTTTCATCCTCAACCTCATGTTATAATAGGTATATACAAGTTTCTGGAGTCTTTCAAACTTCAATATGTTTCTTGCTTTGGTGTGAATATAGTTAAATGTGCTCCAATTACGTTCACAATTTGATGCAGGTGTGAATATATCATCACTTGACGCACCCTCTACTCCTTTACTTGAAAACTCTTCACGTGGTGGCATACTTACTATTTTGTATAAAAACAAAATAAACTTATATTTAGAAATATTAATATTACTTATTACATCATTAAAAATTGATTTTACGCTAAATTTTTTAATTTTTAGTTTTTAATCTTAAGAATATTATTAAATAACTTAATCTTTTTGATGCACTAATTGATATTAATTTTTTTTATCACAAATAACTTCAAATAATTATATAATAAATACAATCTTCAATAATTACACAAAAATAATAAGAATTAATCTAATATCAAAAGAATTGACAACAATATAAATATCAAAACAACAAAAAAATTATTAAATTTCATACACAAAATTATAAATTAATATCTAACACGATCAAAATATAATATTTAATTTTAATTAATTTTTGTCTAACTTATATAAAAAATTTATCAATAATTTTCATCTACAATCTCTATGTATATCATATTAAATTATTAATCTCTTATTTTTTTTAATTATAAATCTTCAATCCCTCTAATTAGATTTTATCTAAAAAAATTTTAAAAATTAAAAGTTTTCAAACTTATATTTTAATAAAATTTTCAAACCTATATTTTTATTTTTTAGTTTTTAATCTTAATAAGAGTAATAGATCATAAAATGCTAAATTTGTTAAGTAA